AAATATCTGCTAAAGCTTTTCGCCAGACACTAATCATCGCAGAACCGTCTGGAAAATGATCTCTAAGAAATAGTACAGCTTATAAAATGAGTCAGATCAACGTAAGCCGGTAAGGCAATCACTGATTGACATGTCCTTTAACCAATCAGGAAATGTCACAAACCTACTGAAGGATGTGTAGATTGTATAGAAATTCTTTTTGGCGGCAAAGGACATGTTTATGTGTTTTAATAAAGGTGGCTTCCAAAATATAGAGATGATTTGAGGGTAGCACCTGGTGTCATTAGAACACAACTTCCTGCTCGGAACATTTTAAATTGCTCGTAACCCGCCCTTATTAGCACGTGTATTAAAGAATTATATACACTTACTTATCCGTGACCACGAGCTACATATATTATATAATACACTAAAAGCTTCCTCAGGTTATTTTCTGTGACTTCGTGTCACAATGTTTTGCACATCTGTATTTCTACATCTTATCATGTGTAAAGTTATACACGAGGTATTTGGTTAACGAGAAAAGTGCAGAATTTGTAGTTAAAGAAATAATACGTTCTCGTTATCAGTAAGCGGACTGGACTTTGCGTTATTTTTCCTGAATAATCCAAAACCATCCGCCAAACAATAGAACCTGTTACAATAGTTCCTTATTCCAACCCTTGGAATATGTGGAATATGAAGAGCAAATTTAATTTATGAAAAGAAGAAAATAAATTTAAATCTTGACTGTTTAATTTCACAAGGCTAGTAAAGTATAAGATTAAAAACAATAGCTTAGGTAGTTACTGTGTTTAGAATTCATAAATACTTCCTTATGTTATCACTGTTTCAACCTGAAGGAATCTTAAAAGATTAAAATGAGTTGGCCTTGAATACAACAATAGAACAATCGCGACTGCAGCGCAGCGCTTGGGTGAGACACGGAAAGTGTAATGTAAAAATGTCTTTTGGTCATGGAAGGTACCACCAAGCCCAGTGTTGTTCTCCTTGACTGCTTATTCTGAAGACATCTTCATATTACAAACAGAGCATAAGGTGTAAAATAATAACAGCCTTGACACATGGTGTGACGTAACATGTTTAGTAAACGAATCCCCATGAAATATAACAACACTTAAAAAACAATATCTCACCAGAGAAGACGGATACTGTGTTGATTTTTTTTTCAAGGTCAGACTCGACAGATCGTACAAACTTTTGTAATATATGAACTATTAAGATCCGGAAACTTTAAATGATAACATATAATACTCAGTTTAGAAAATACTGTTATCTCGAGGATATTTTATAATAAACTGAAATCGTGAAAATAAAGAAGAACTTTATAACAGGTAAGAAATATTACAATTTTTATGCGTTGGTAATAGTTTTTTTTTAAAGCGCAAAGCTACACAGTTGGATATCTGCGCTCTATCCTCCATTAAACTCTGGGTTTTAACGTTGTAAATCCGAAAATTCCATTGACCTACTGGGGTCCTACATTGGTAACAGATGAAATATTCAAACTTAATGAAGACAAATAGCGTCAATAGTGTTAGTGTTCAAATGGTCTTCCCAGAGCGAGCAATAGAGGTTCTTGTAAAAGTCCTAGTTATATATATTTGTTTAAGAAGTAAGAACTGAAACTTATTAATTGTTTCGATTTAACACTTTTAATATAATGTTTACAGGCTAATATTTCTTATGCCACATGACATAGAAATGTGTGAACGTTAACCTATGAGCATTTATTACTTTTATGTATGTGTTAAATGGATCATCTCAATAAAGTATTTCTACTTTTTGTGTGCATTTAGTTTCAAAATTAAGTTTTGGCAAAATATGAATACAGAAGTGACTGTAACATCGTGATAGGCTTAGGTTTCCTTTCTAATATGATGACTTCAGACCTTAAATACTTAAACTGAAAAATAAATAGCTTTGTAGCACGTGAAGTGCGCTGAATTTGAATTTGAATGGTTACTAGCTGGTTATACACGGTCTTAAAAATTGTACGCGCTTTCTTTGATTGCTAAAACAACATTGAGTCAGCGGTAAATGTACGCACTTATAACGCTAAAATCCAGGGTTCAATTGCCCGATGTGTACAGAGCACAGATAGCTCATTGTGTTACTTAGCGCTAAAACATAACAAACAATTTTAATGGGTTATCTTTCTACTTGCACAAACAAAATATTTAGATCTGAAGGTATTTTTATTATATATGATAAATTAATGTAAACTACAAAGAGTTTAGTTCAAAAGGAGACATTTCTAAACAATTTAGGTTATTTTCCAGCCTCAAGATGCTTGAAAAAGACGGCGTGTAACATCAAGAAATTTCATTTACGTTTCTTTATATATCGCCTCCCGAAACGAAACTTCAAAAAACATTTTTTAACTAACACATTCCCCAATTGTTACGAATGACTTTTTATCATAAGACTATACGTTATGTTGCAAAAAAATGTTCAAAAATCCATGGTCAGAAGGCAAGTTTCTACACAGTGATAAAGCACAGAACGCATAGTAAGGACAGCTAAGGAAAATAACTCGTTTAAATTAACCAAATCGAAAATATTTCATTTTTTCATGCATATACTCACATACTGTGCCGATACGATTAGAACTGTGTCAGGTGTATACAGTAATACGATCTATTAAGTATTTTTTTTACATCAAAGAACACGTCGCAAGGGCTATTTTTTCTGGTTGGTAGTTTCAGTCTTATTTAATTAACATAGGTAATGTTTTGAATAATAACAAAGCAAGAATAAACGCCCTCTATGTATATAACCTCGGCCTCGTATCGCCTGGTGATTAGGGTACTAGATTTGCAATCTGCGGGACGCGGGCGCAAATCTCTGTCGCTCAACTGATTCGCACTTTTATCTGTGATGGCGTTATAGTGCGTTGGTAAAATAGCAGCCTAAATGTTGATATTGATTAGCTGCTTTTGTTTGTTTGTTTTTGAATTTCGCGCAAAGCTACACGAGGGCTATCTGCGCTAGCCG